ATCCCTGAACCATGCGGGTGCTGTCTTCTTCGTCCTTGAACCATCCTGTGGGTGCTGGCTTCTTCTTCATCCCTGAACCACCTTGTGGGTGCTGGCTTCTCCTTCATCCCTGAACCATCCTGTGGGTGCTGGCTTCTTCATCTCTGAACCACCTTGTGGGTTCTGGCTTCTCCTTCATCCCTGAACCCCCTCATGGGTGCTGGCTTCTCCTTCATTCCTGAACCACCTTGTGGGTGCTGGCTTCTCCTTCATCCCTGAACCATCCTGTGGGTGCCAGCTCCTCCTTCATCCTTGAATCACCTTGTGGCTTCTCCTTCTTCCCTGAACCATCCTGCGGGTGCTGGCTTCTTCTTCATCTCTGAACCACCTTGTGGGTGCTGGCTTCTCCTTCATTCCTTATCCACCTTGTGTGTGCTGGCTTCTCCTTCATCCCTGAACCACATTGTGGGCTCTCCTTCATCCCTGAACCACCTCATGGGTGCTCCTGCTGAATCCAATGCTGGATTAATCAGGATTTGCAGCTCCCCAGCCTGTTCCAGAGGCAAACACTGTTTCTTCCAGCCCCACAGTGTGGAATTCTGTGTGCTGCCAGGGATGCTCAGCCTGGCCACACTGCCTGGTGCAGCTGTTGCTCAGGTCTGACTCTGTTTTGCTATGAGTAATGTTTATGTTTGTCTCGTGGCCAGTTTTTTACTCACCTAACATCAAAAAGAGAAACAAAAGGAAAAAAGAAAAAACCAAACAAAAACAAACACACTCTGAGTAACAGTGTCTGCCACAAGGTTTGATATCATCACCAGGGCTGAGTCACGCTGGAGCCGTAGTTTCTTTTGGATAATCAGTGCCAGATGTTGTTGTTCAGATGCTGCTGTGCTCACCCACGTGCCCCAGAGAATCACAGAGTCCTCTCCGGCTGCTCTGGCCCTGCTGGCCCCAGGAGAGCAAGGGGAGGCCATCCACAGCATTTCCCACTGTGTCCCCATCCCTCCACCTCTCCACAGGGGCTCAGGAGCATCCTGTTGCATCCTGCAACACCCTCCAGATGAACTTCCTAACTGACAGCCATTAGGAAAAAAAGAAAAAAAAAAGAAAAAAAACCCAAATGAAAACCATAAACATCCTTTTTTCCTTTTAATCAGCACTGATAATGAAACAGAAAGATAAATTGCCCTGATCCCAAGCCAAGGATAAAAGTGCAGCAGAAATAAGGCTCCTCCCAACATGTGTTCTGCTGAAAGGCAGCAGCATCACAAGTCCATGGCCGTTTCAAAAGGCTGGTGAGGAAAGAGGGCTCTGGTGGCAGCAGGGAGCCTCTCCCCTTCCTGTTTTGCAAAGAAAAAGGTAGTACAAGGTTGGCTGGTGATCCTGTTTTGTTCCATGCTGAATAAAGTATTTTACCATCCACTCGCAGAGAGGATGTTCAGTCAAGGATCCAGAAACGTGTTGATGTTGCAGAGCTGAGAGCCTGGCAATAAGTTAATCCTCAGGGAAGTCTGCAGGTGCAGGACATCCTCCCATCCCCACATCCTCAATTTCCAGCTAGTCTGTAAAATGTGGGCACTACAGAGCACTTCTCCATGGAAACAGGTAGTTAAAAATCAAAATCTGAGCGAGAGAGGTTCACTTCCAGTCCCAGGGCAGTGGCAGGGTGGGAGGCAAGGGCAGGGATCCTGCACACAGCTTCGTTTCTTAAGGCACTCCTGGGGCTGTTGTCTGGGTGAGCATGGCCTGCTCTGCAGGATGTGGTTTCCTTCGGGCTCCTCAGGCTTTCAAGGAATTTGGTGAGTCAGGAACAGGATCTGGAAAAGGCAGAGCAGGGGTGTTAGTCCAGCTTGCAGCTGAGGGGATATCATTCCAGGAAGTCAGCAAACTCTGGTTTTGTGTGGAAAACAGAGGGTTTAGGTCCCTCCCATCTTTCAAGCCACCAAGTTTTTGATGTCACCAGCTGTAGGATGGCAGGGGTAGGACGGTTGGGATGGACGGAGAGCAGAGATCTCTGCAGCCAGGTCAGGAACTTGGGGTTTATTGTAAAGGGCCTGGGAGCAGGCCCTGCTGGGATTTGGGGTTTATTGCAGAGGGCCTGGGTGCAGGGCCCTGCTGGGATTTGGGGTTTATTGCTGGGAGCTGCCACAGCCCAGAGCAGGCCCCAGAGAGAGAAAGAGGTGTAAAGAGAGTGGGAAAGAGGATGAGAGAGCGAGGTTCCCATTACAATACAATAAATCTTCTTCTG